GTGGTGCAGAGGTTTTGGACCCAAGGGAGGATGACCTGGATACTGGTGGTGCGGATGGGGAGGTTTTGGACCCAAAGGAGGGTGACCTGGATACTGCTGCTGAGCAGGCTTTGGGCCCACAGGAGGATGTCCAGAGTCCTGCTGGTGCTGGGGAGGCATTGTTTTATAGGGTAATTTAAGCCCATGAGGTAGGGACCTGGGACCCACTGGGCCTCCTATTGGGGAGCCAGGCGCAACAGGAAAGCGAGGTTCACTAGATGAGTGATAAGGACCCAGGACTTCATTATCCCCATATTTCTTTGCAGAACCAGCATTATCAGCTGTTGGAACAAAGAAACCATTAATTTAAAAACCGTTACATAAGATTTGCTGCATGAATTTTTGCTACATCAGCATTTCTAAGAAGTCACTTTTGCCACACCAAAATACATTTATCATACAAACAAGGTGAAAACATTTTAATCAAGCTTACCATTAGCTTGAGCCAATCCAGTGGCCAACAGGGAAAACAGCAACAATCTGGGAAGATACAACTTTTTAAGTTTCTTTTCTCCATTTGAAAGCCTACGAAAACATTTAAACAAAGATTAACACTCACCTAAAGAAATATTGCATGTTTTAGACACAGCAGCAAACTAACTTTTGACGGTCACAATTAAACCAGTCATCTAGTCAAATAAAACATCAAACTGAATTTCCACTTGACAGGTTTTTGTACCTTTGCCTCTGCCTTGATTAGTTAGATCAACTCAGGTGTGTCATGTTAAGAATGCAGGTGTGACTAATAGGAGGAAGATGGTGCTTCTTCTTCTCCTTCATGCAGTTTTATGGTGATTTACAAACAATGGAAGGTGTGCATTACCACCACCTACTGATATGAAGTGTGGATCAAAATGCCTATATTATGTCTGCAGCCATGCTTGTGTTCTATTGACTAATTTTGTGTTTCTAAAAAAAAGTATAATTATTTAAATACGTAATTTCTTGCTTCATTATATAATATATTTATTATATTAAATCTTTATTTGATTTTTCCCAATTCTTCGACCGTACAGTTTATTGTTGTGCATCCCTCATCTGTGTTTTTTTTAATTTTTTTTTAAATAAAAACAGGTCTCTCTTGAAAATTAGTCCTTGTGACTCAATGAGACTAACTTGTATAAATAAATGTTGAATGAAAATGTGTCTTCTGTGTCTAAAAAAGTTAAGTCTGGTCCTCTGGACATTCAAAAAGCAAAACAGAACAGAAAACGGACACGTAATGTTAGATCCGCCTTCAAGAAGAGCGGGGCCAGTGACGAATATTCTAGTATATACGTCATTGAGCTGGGTTCACCCGCAGCACTGCTAACACATCCAAAATGGATTCCACTGCCGAGAGTCAGCCAGAAGATGTGCGCCACCCATGGCCTTATTTAAAAGACTTATTCGAGTGGTTCAAAAAATGACTCGTGGAGATTCTGGTGTCATCTTTGCCTCCCCTGAAACCATGAACTTCTGGCTTTCAAAAATTCACCGTCAAATCTGAAAAAACATATCGAAGCAAGTTAAGTTGCTAAACGCTACCTGACTTTTGCATGTGAAATTAGGTTGAAGTCTCATGTAACTTTAGCTAGCATCTTGTTCAAATGTACCGCTAAAAACAAGTAAACACAATTAAATTATTATAATCTAGCATGAACTGGCAAACTGCATGTTGCTAACGCAGTGTTGTCTTGGTCATGGATGTTTGCTTGGACGCTAAGTAACGTGAGCAGTGGTATTTGTTGCTTGTCTGGCTTGGAGCTCTTTAGCCTCATGCTTATAGAATTGCACTCGGGTCCAAAAAAATCTGACCCGACCTGGCCCCAGTCCACAGCCATCATCTCCGAACCCCACCCGATCCGACGAATTAACAGTAATTACTGGTCCAAACCCAAAACCCCCCGACATTTTTTAAGCTTTGACTGCTTACCGCCGACTATTATTAATGGTTGGTAGACGCACGTGGCTGAGTAAAGGGGGCAGAAGATCGGAGCTGAGGAGCCTTCAAAGCGTATTAAATGCTTCCCCTGTTTCTGCCTGCATCCTGCTTTGACATGACATTTAAATCTGCTTTGAAGACTCATTTTTTCTCTTTGGCTTTTAACGCAGCTTGAAATGTTGGCTTTACTGTTTTATGTTATTTGTTTTATTGTTCTTACTGTTTGCTGTTTTGTGATTTGGTAGTTCATTACTTTTATGGTATTTATTGAGTTTTTATGCTTGTATGTGTTAGTGTACAGCACTTTGGTCAAGGGTGTTGTTTTAAAGTGCTTTATAAATAAAGTTGTATTGTATTGTATTATGTCACCTGTTTGGGTCGTTGGCCGTGTGCATACGCTGAGTGCTGTGCGCGTCCGCTGAGTGTCATGTGTGTCCGCTGAGTGCCGCACGTGTCCGCAGAATGCCACAACTGAATGAACGTCCATTTGGGCTGATGGATCGCTGGCAGTAATCCATCTGAAGCTTAAATGAACTTTTTACCTCTTTCAAATGGCTGGTCAGCACGCGGTCAAATGGCCGCGGGTAGCTGGTGATTGTATGGCAAGCAACGTTGCCATATAATTGGATTGTCGGCCGCATGCGTTCCTGACGCAAGAAAAAGTCAGACACTGACCCAGCCCACACATTAAGCACATTATTATGGCCTGGTCCTAATCCGGGCGGGGCCAGGCTCTGTGTTTGGGTTAGAAATGACAGCTCTACATGCTTATTCATAAGGTGATATAGAATGACAGGATTAACACTGTTATAATTAACAAAGTCCATGCTCAATAATCCAGGTATAGAATCCAACATTTTTCAGTCAGGTCACCTGACCCTGTTGTTGACTGTCAACAAGGAAGAGGGCCGGCAATGGAGGAGGGGCGTAGCAAAGAGACCATCTTATCACAAGCAGAACTGGTTTGTTCCACTTTGGAGTAAGCTGCTGGGGGAAGAATCAGTTTTGTTGTGTGTTTCCTTGACTGATGAAGCCTTCCGGATCGAAGGCAAAACGTTTCAGCACAAAAAAAGAAACTGTCCAGATGACCAGACTGAAAAATGTTGGACTGTGATAATTACTTTAAAGCAGTGGTCTCAAACTGCTCTGTGAAAGGGCCGCTGTGGCTGCAAGGTTTTCGCTCCAATTAAGCAAGTGGACAGTGAAATAGTTGTGTGAAGAAAGTTTAGTTGATTGAATGATCCCAATCAGATGTGCCGGGTTGCATGAAATAGACTTATGTCCAAAAGTTAGTCATTCTTGTATACTTCATTGGCTATTTATTAATCCTTCTGTAGATTTATCTTTGCATAAATTAATCCAAATTAAAGTGAAACATATATCAGAAAACTTCTTAGTGCAACAAATCCTTAATAAGCATTATTTGGATGAACTTATATTCTTTACAGATGTATCAAAAGATCCAGAATCAGGACATACTGGAGCAGCAGTTTATATCTCGTCAAAATATAGGAATGAAAAAAAGAACAACAGATAACTTATCAGTCTATACTGTAGAATTATTAGCAATACTCATGGGTTTAGAGTGGATTGAAAAACATAATGGTCAAAAATATATAATTGTATCAGACTATATGGCAGCCTTATTAAGCATTAAATAATGTAACTAAAGAAAGAAAGACATTAACAGAATTTACCACATTCTATATAACAGAGCCGCCCAAACTTTTTCTCTGAAAGAGCCAAATTTATAATCTATCAGAGGGCTGTGGACCATCCGTCATCCATCAATATTCTTCCGCTTATCCGGGGTCGGGTCGTGGGGGTAGTAGCCTCGGATTTGGAGGAACTGATCTTCATCCCGGCTGCGTCACACTCGGCTGCGAACCGATTCAGCAAAAGCTGTAGATCACAAATTGATGAAGCCAATAGGACCACATCATCTGCAAAAAGCAGAGACGCGATCCTAAAGCCACCAAAACGGATCCCCTCGACACCTTGGCTGTGCCTAGAAATTCTGTCCATAAAAGTTATGAACAGAATCGGTGACAAAGGGCAACCTTGGCGGAGTCCAACTCTCACCGGGAACAAGCCCAACTTACTGCCGGCAATGTGGACCAGGCTCTGACACCAGTCATACAGGGACCTAACAGCCAGTATCAAAGGGCCTGGTACCCTATACTCCCAGAGTACCCCCCACAGGGTTCCCCGAGGGATGTGGTCGAACACCTTCTCCCTGTCCACAAAGCACATGTAGACTGGTTGGACAAACTCCCACGCACCCTCCAGGACCCTGCTGCGAGTGTAGAGCTGGTCCAGTGTTTCACGACAAGGACAAAAACCAAACTGCGCCTCCTGAATCCGAGGTTCGACTATCCGATGGACCCTCCTCTCCAGAACCCCTGAATAGACCTTACCAGGGAGGCTTAAGCGCATGATCCCCCTGTAGTTGGAACATACTCTACGGTCCCCCTTTTTGAATAGGGGGACCACCACCCCAGTCTGCCAAATCCAGGGGAACTTCCCTCGATGTCCATGCAATATTGTAGTCATGTAAGCCATCACAACCCTACAACATCCAGAGCCTTAAGGAACTCGGGACGAATCTCATCCACCCCTGGGGCCCTACCACCGAGGAGCTTTTTAACCACCTCGGTGACCTCAGCACCAGAGATTGGAGAGCCCGATCCAAAGTCCCCAGGCTCCGCTTCCTCAGTGGAAGACGTGCCGGTGGGATCGAGGTCTTCGAAGCATTCTTCCCACGACCCACAACATCCCGAGTTGAGGTCAGCAGCACACCACCCCAACTGTAAACAGTGTTGGTGGTGTACTGCTTTCCCCCCGAGACGCCGGATGGTGGATCAGAATCGCCTCAAAGCCGTGCGGAAGTCATTCTCCATAGCCTCTCTGAACTTCTCCCATGCCCGAGTTGTTGCCTCAGTAACCACCCGAGCCGCATGTCACTTGGACTGCCGCTACCCATCAGCTGCTTCCGGGGTCCCACAGGCCAAAAAGGCCCAATAGGACACCTTCTTCAGCCTGACAGCATCCCTCATCGCCGGTGTCCACCACTGGGTTTAAGGATTGCTGCCGTGACAGGCACCAACAACCTTGTGGCCACAGCTCTGGTAAGCTGCCTCGACAATAGAGGCACGGAACATGTCCCACTCTGACTCAATGTCCCCTACCTCCCCCGGAACATGTTCAAAGTTCTCCCAGAGGTGGGAGTTAAAGCTTCGTCTCACAGGAGACTCTGCCAGATGTTCCCAACAAACCCTCACAACACGTTTGGGCCTGCCAGGTCTGACCGGAGTCCTCCCCGACTATCTGAGCCAACTCACCACCAGGTAGTAGTCAGTGGACAGCTCCGCCCCTCTCTTCAACCGAGTGTCCAAGACATGTGGCTGCAGATCAGATGAGTTGACAACAAAGTGGATCATCAAACTGCGGCCTAGGGTGTCCTGGTGCCAAGAGCACATATGGACACCCTTATGCTTAAACATGGTGCTTGTTATGGACAATCCATGATGAGCACAGAAGTCCAACAACAGAACACCACTCAGGTTCAGATCAGGGGGGCAGTTCCTCCCAACCACAACTCTCCAAGTTTCACTGTCATTGCCCATGTGAGCACTGAAGTCTCCCAGCAGAACAAGGGAGTCCCCAGGAGGTGCACTCTCCAGTACCCATTCGAAGGACTCCAAAAAGGGTGGGTAA